AGGCGGGAGGGGAGGAGGAGAGGCAGGGGGCGGGCAGGGGGCCGCTGACGGCTCCGGCTCCGTCTGGCAGAGAGCGAGCTGACCAAGATGGAGAGCAGCTACCTGGCTGAGACGCACCGACAGTCTCCCAAAGAGAAGGCCAGCAAAGCCCCGGCCGTGCGGCGGAGGAAGCGCCCCCACGCCCACCTGCGGGGGCCCCACCTGGAGGAGGTGCTGAGCCCCGTCACCACGCCCACCGACGAGGACGTGGGCCGCAGGGCCAAGCACGTGGCAGGTGGGCGCGCTGTGCGTGTGCCTGTGCCTGTGTGTGTGCCTGTGTGTGCCTGTGGCTGTGTGTGTCTGCACGTGTGTGTGCATGTGCCTGTGCCTGTGTGTGCGTGTATGTGCCTGTGTGTGTGCCTGTGGCTGTGTGTGTGTCTGCACGTGTGTGCATGTGCCTGTGCCTGTGTGTGCGTGTATGTGCCTGTGTGTGTCAGTGCCTGTGTGTGCCCGTGGCTGTGTGTGTCTGCACGTGTGTGTGCATGTGCCTGTGCCTGTGCCTCTGTATGTGCGTGTGTGCGCGCCTGTGCATGTGTGTGCCGGTGTGTGTGCGTGTGTCTGTGTCTGTGCGCCTGTGGCTGCTGTGTGTGCGTGTGTGTGTGTGCACATGTGCGCGTGCATGTGTGTGTGTGTGCACATGTGCGCGTGCATGTGCGCATGTGCGCGTGTGGGTGTGTGCATGTGTGTGCATATGTGTGTGCCTGTGTGTGCGTGTGTACCTGTGCGTGTGTGTGTGTGTGTGTGTGCCTGTGCCTGTGCGCGCTTGCATAGAGGCCGTGTGTCGTTTGCACGGAGCCGTTAACACTCAGTCTCTGTGCCCTCCTATTGCCATTGCCCTGTCAGTCCCTCGGCCCCTGCTGGCCCACCGGGCGCTTTGCTGGGCAGAGCTGCCTTTGGTGGTGCCCCCGCTGCCTGAGCACCACGTGCACCCGACAGGCTCGAGTGTGCGGTTCCCAGGTTGTCCGGAAATGCACCGGGGCAGCCAGAGCTCAGCCCCAGAGAGTGACCACCTCCCAGCCGACGCCCGGGGTCCAGGGGGCCCCTACGCGGCCCCCACGGGCCCACCAAGGACCCGCCCTACGGGGTAGCAGACGCCCTTGATGCGTCCCCCTCTTCCGTCAGCCTTTCCAGTCTCACGTCTCCCTCAGGCATGGAGACCTGCAGCTGTGAGAGGCCTGGGAGCTCACCGATCAGGGTTTCCACACGGTGCTCCCACATGCCTGGGAGTTCCTCGGAGCGGACGGGACGGGACGGG